ATCTGACGCACATCCCCGTCCGCCGACGATCTGCTGGCGGTTGGCCAGCTCTCCGGCGCCGGCATTATTCGCCCGGCTAATGGACAGGGGCCGGGGCCCGGCCCCGGCTGCAGGGCGGCCGCGGCGCCGGGCAGAAACGGACGGTCCACTGCAAGCCGCCTGCTCCCGGCTCCCGGCTCCCGGCCCATACTCCCGCCCAGACTCCTGGCTCCTGAGCTAGTTTCCCCCTCCGCGCCGGGTTGCCGGCGCGCCGCCGCTGTCGGGGCCAGTTTGACCGGCGCCCGCCCGTCTGCGCCAGCCGGCTGGGCGGCTGGTGGATGCTCGTCGGTGCTTGTGGAGATGCTGCTGTGAAGCCGTCCTCCTCATTAGTGTTGCTTTGATCTAGCCAGAGCCGCGGAGGTGCCCAGACGCTCCGATGTCGTCGGCGAGAGGTCCTCAGGCGGTGGCCAGAGCCGGGTCGATTTTTCCGTGACGTTTTTGCCAATACATGCTTCAACCGGCTTCGTTTACAAGTAGAATAAAGGCTCCACACATCTCGGTTTGTTCCTGGTCGTTCTCCCCAAGTCTGCGTTTCTATTTCCACAAGCCCATGCGCAGCCGGGCTTGGAAAGCGTGCCCCCACCCCCACCTATTTACGAACTCCGACTCTTATGGGGAGAGCAACTCAAAGGGGAATGATTCCACCTTTCAACTATCCCAAGCTTGGCTTCTCTGAGCGATGTCGTCGTTGGTGTTGGTTGCAAGCAAAATTATTAGTTTTTTTGTGTTTGTTGGAGAACCATTCCACAGATGATTAGGCCCTGCCGTGTACTGTGGACCGGATCACACCGCATATCCACCAAACACACAACGCGCAGCAAGCTATAGATTCAGAGGACCATTTCCATCTGCGAAAGTCGTTCACTGGGGCTAACAATTCACCACGCTTACCGGTGTTTGTGTTGCGAGCGTGTATCGGTGGGTGATGCGCACCTGAGGCGGGGACGGCCGTGCGGCGTGCCTGTTGTCGGAGAGGTGGGGGCGCAGACTTGACACCAGCCCGCCTCCACCGGCCGTCAATCGGAAGCCCTCCCGCCAGCGTTACATGAGGTTTGATTTGTTACCTCGTTTGGTCCTTGATTTGCTCCAAGTTCAGTTCGTTTGGCAAAGACTTGGCCAGGTTTGTTCCGTGTTTTGCGAGGAGCCCTGCCCCTTCCGGTGGCCCGTAGCCGTGGTGGTATCCTGGACTTGCCCGCGCCGCCTGCGTGGCCGGTCAGCCGGGGCAGAGAGGTAGCATCACTTGCGGGTCCATTTAAAGTCGGGCTGACCTGTCCGGCTCTGAGAGGTGGGTGGCAGTCGTGATTCGCAACTCCTAACCATGACATGTGCTGTTCATGCCATACAAGGCTTTGTGAGTCACTTCTGCTGATCAGAAGCGTGCCTTGAGCTGCTCAGCTTGACCAGCAAGAACGTGACAGGCTGTCTGTCTTCCTGTCTGACAAGCTTTTTTATGTATTTGCTGATGTATCCACACTAGGGTGTGTCATCAGTAACAAAACCAAGTGAGACAAAGAAATCCTTTGGTACACGGCATAGCAAAAGGTCTTCCCAAAAACTTAAATTCGTGACGCGCGAGCCGATCGAAATATCGCCATAAACCGGCTTCCGGCGTTGCAGTTGTGCTGGGCAGCGTCCGACACCGCAGGTAACACCAAGTCGTGGGCGGCAAGCGATACAAAATGCCTTTGCGTATGGAAACGATGCTGCCGAGCGCTCCTCAAGCCGTCGTACGAGTGTCCCGGTCTAGGGTCTAATATGTAGATCAGACATTGCCCCATTGATTGCTATATGGCGGAAACTTTATGTGCTGTTGAGTATGAACTCGTTATACGAGTAAGTCAGTTAGTATTGCTTTAAAATTTCACTTCCCTAAGACAACTCACGTAATGCAAACAAAACCATGCGTGGCATATGACTCAGAATATATTGTCTGGTGTACGACATAATACATATAGCAAGTTCTGCAGCCTGTACCACGGGCATAGAGGGGGGGGGGGGGGGGGAGCGGTAGTGTGACCCCATGCACATCTTGTTTCTTGCCGAGCATGCGTATTCGATGCACCGGCCAAAACAGCAGCTGCTCACAGACTGGAAACTCAAAACGCGTGTTGGCGGAGATCGCACGATAGCAGAAATACCGTCTCAGCTGGGTTCCACACATTGCCGAAGCCCCCGGCCCCCGCCACGCCCCCGGCAGTGCCGCGCTGGTCGCACCCCTAGTGTGAGCCAGATAGGGCGAGATGGCCAGCGGAGCCCGCACTTTGTTCTGCAGCTCGCAGTCCATGAAAGGTCTCGCAGTGGAGGATGTGTGACTGGTCCGTGTCAGGGGATCAGTTCGGTGTACCTCACGGCCTCGAAGTTTATCGCTGAGATGGCGAAGACCCTGGGCTGAAGAAGACCATCGGTTTGCTGGCCACGAGCGGCGTGACGATCAGAACCGCCTGTTCGCGGACCATGCGGTTCTCATCCCACACCATGTCCAGCAGTAGCTGCTCCGGACGGGCCCAGTACCCGTTGCGCTGGAAGACGGGCTGCACCATGGCCTATGTGTCCTGCGGCAGCTTGCGGAGCAGCGCCATGCTCCGGAACAAGTTGCGTAAGCCAAGGTCGCAGCTGCTGTTCTGCGGATGGCGGACCATAGTGGCCATACCGGCACATAGTGGCCGACCACGCACTGGACGAGGTTCTGGAGAGCGCTGCTAGAGGCCTCGGTGGAGATGTAAACTAGGAGCAGGTGAGCGGCCAGTTCAACCATCTGAAAATAAAAGCAAATATATTAGAACAATTTTTTACGAACTGAACATTAGTTCTTACAAAAATTATTGCACATCTTTAGTGCCTGTAATTATGCCTATATCCAGAGTCTCTGAGTGTGATGCAATACATATCAACAAATATACTAGCAAGCATGAACTGACGAGCAAATAAAGCGACATACTACGGCACAAGATATGGTGATGAGTAAATGCTCAACAGTAGGCACATGAAATATCCATTGATGGTTGATGAAGTTTAAGCACTCATTGCTATAAATAAGAAGATAATGTGTTTTCATATTAACTTGGGCCGCCCTTCCTGCCAGGGTGAGAGGCAGGCGACGCCATATAGCCTCAGTAGCTGAGTGCGTCGTAAAGCCCCAATCACACACACACACACACACACATTCACACACACACACGCACGCACGCATGCACGCACGCTCGCACGCACGCACGCACGCACGCACGCTCGCACGCACGCACGCACGCGCACGCACGCACACACACACACACACACACACACACACACACACACACACACACACACACACACACACACACACACACACACACACACACACACACACACACACACACACACACACACACACACACACACGCACACATCAACTTCGCATGGTTCGAGGGTCCTATTCGCCACTGGGCTGCCACGTGTAGGACAGGGCCGTTTGAACGCCGGAGGCCAGAAAGTACAGCAGCTGCTAGTTGGTGCTCAGCTGCTGAATCAGGCTGATCGCCAGGTTTGGCACATGCCTTGGCATAGGCTTGAATGCTACAACATCCCTCTGCCGGACCCCGTCGGCGCAGGTCTTGCCGATGGGTCCAGAAAAATTTCGATCCCGTGGTCGTGCTGTTCAAGCCTAGCAGCAGATGGAGGAGGTTCAGGTCCTTGCCGTGCAGCTGGCAGATGAACCAGTGTGCGGGTGACTCGGCGGCCAGCTCAAACAGCCGGAACACGTCGCCTATCGTCTCGGTGTTGACGGCGTGCACTCGCAGCCGAGCTAACGGAGTGTGGCTCGTTAAGGAAGTGCAGGATGCGGCCGAACTCGTGTGTAAAATGGGTCACGTGGCGGCTGCCTGGCTCAGCGATGACAACCACGTGTTTTTCGACGGCATTTGCCTGACTCCGTGGCATTTGCCTGGCTTATGTAGTTCCTGCTTTCGCGGCCGTCGGAGTAGAGGATGGTCGACCTTGAGTCGTGGATTACTTCAGCATTTGGACGAGCCGTCTCCTCTTTTGCTCTGTTTTTTGCGCAGCAGATGTTTTAGGATCTACGATATTTCATTTTAAGTAGCCAGTCCGCCTCTGCTGTTTTGTTGAAGGGCGTTGACGGTAGCAGCAACGGCCCGGTTCGAGCCACCGTAGCTGTCAACCGCCAGAGCGGTGTTAGTCAGATCGTTAACGTTAGTATCTACAGTGGTAGTGGCTTTAATCGGAACGAACAATGGGCGTTGTCGCCACCTTCTACCATGTGCGGAATGGTGTAAGGATCAGTGCTCTCGGCTGACTCGCCAGCGCTGAGACCACTTGGTCCCGGAGCAGGCTCGAGTTCAGCACTAGCAACCAGCGCTGGCTCAGCGGGCGGCGTAGGCTCAGCAGTCGGCAGGGAAGGCGACTCAGGTCCAGGAGCAGACATCGCCTCACTGGTGGCTGGTCCATGACGCCCCAGCGGTTGTCTGGCCGTCCTCCGCACCTCGCGAGCCTCCTTGATCACAGTCGTATCCCGGTCACATGACCCCAGGGTAAGCTTGCGGTGCCTGCGTTGGTCCTTCTAGGCAACCTCCGCTTGATACACTGTGCAGGCACTTGGGCATGGAAAGCTGCGCTGAGATGCTGGAAAGTGGCAAGTTTGAGGCTTGTTAGAGGATGATCCCATTCCGTACAAATAGGTGACGTTGATACCGAATACCATTTTCTTGGCTTATGAAAAAAATTGCTCATGCGTCACGGGTATCAACATTGTTGCGGTGCGACAGACCTGAAAGTTTATCATAAATCCGTGTGACAAGGAAAAACTTGGTCTCAGTTGATTCCAAGAGATTCGTCCTCTCGATGGCACAGCCTGATCTACACGTATTTGCGTGTTCAGCTGAGGTGCGCCTGGCGGCCGCTCCGCCCTGCCACCCTTGCGATAGCGTGCGTCCTGTGCCCTGTCCGACGAACGGCCCTCTCTGTTGCAGTGCTTCAAGTCGAAGTCTGTGACAGACCTGGCCGAGGCCACGGCTGATCCCCCGATCGACCGGCCGGCCGAGGCTGGCGAGGCGGCGCCGCGCGCCGAGCCGCCGCCGCCGCCCGCGCACGAGCCGCCCACCAACGGCGACGAGGTACGTACCACCAACGCCGCTGGGGGTTTCCGCGTCCCCGCCAGCACGGGCGCTGCCAGCTTCCGTATCTTTTCTGTGCAATGGTGTATAGTGATAGGAGAGGTGCTCCGGCTAAGATGAAGCTGGCTCTGTCAGCGCTCTGTTTGACGATGCTCTTTCCACCTGCATGTGTGATTGGATGTGGTATGTTGGACCTGTCATGCGGCAGTTTGATGGGGGCATGTCATGCGGCAGTTTGATGGGGGCATGTCATGCGGCAGTTTGATGGGGGCACGGCATTGCCCGGCATAATCGTATAACGTGCGAAACAGCAAATGGTGCTGTTCCGTGCTGGCTTGTTTTGGCTTGTTGGCATGGGCAGGCCACGTTTACCTTGTTGACTATAGCTCACTCTCAGTGTGCCGCAGACGTATGACTGTAACGGAACGTGTGACTATAGCTCACTCACAGTGTGCCGCGAACGTGTAACAGAACGTGTGACTATAGCTCACTCACAGTGTTCCGCGGACGTGTAACAGAACATGCGACGATAACTCACTCACAGTGTGCCGCGGACGTGTAACAGAACATGTGCACGTTTCCGCGTATAGGCTGTTGGCTTTTGCCGGCGTCTGCTCTGTGGTTTTCCTGAGTGGGAGGCCAGTGTGGGCTGCCACAGCCAGGCGCTCAGTGCGGCGTCTGCCGCCTGTTTCAGCTGGAGGGCGCGGAGCCGGCGCCGGCGCTGGACGCCCTCTGACGCCATGGCGCCTGGTTCGAGCGCCGCCGCTCGCTCTGACACGCGGCCAGCATCACTTCTCTCTCCCGTCTTCGGCCGGCGCGCGCGCGCCTCTGTCAGCACCTGTTGGCCGCCCTCTCACCTGACTTGACCTGACCTGCCGCACCGCGCTGCGGGACGGCGAGCTGCGCTGAGGGAGGGGATGTGCGCCGTGCCTTGTCCTGCGGCGGCGCGAGCCGCTCAGTTTGGCACTTCGGAACACGGTGGCTGGCCGGCGGGCAGGGCGGACCGTACTCGCTGTACCGAGGGAGTGCCATCCCGCGCTGCAGGCATCCGGCTAGCCATGTGGCAGGTATTCATGTTAGAGTGTGCAAGAATTTTTCACGTTATGCTGCGCGTGAATGAAAGATGAACCGTGCAATATCGTTTGAATGCGCTGTGTGAAATCGTTGCCGGGCCTCGCTCCTGCCATTTCGTTTCCCGCCGTTCGGCGATAGCTCGGCTGGAGTATTGGCGAACGCGAGGAGTTATCGCTCCTACCCCGGTGCGTCACCCAGCCAGCCAGTGGAACTTACCATGCGGCTCTCGCCACTTCACGTGTCAGGCACGGCTAGCGTTCCTCGCTGAATTCCTGTTAAATGTTTCATACGTGCATGGCTGACTTGCCCGTGCGCCCGTAATTATGGATCGGCGCCGGCGACGTTAGCCGCTTATTATCAGTGCCCTATGAGCTGACAATACGATGGTCTGCCGTTCTGCTGGTGGCATTTGACCGGAGGCCTCAACGGAAAGTACGTAGCTGTATAGAGCCACAAAGCCCAACTCTGGCTTTGTGGCTCTCGCTGTCATTCTCAGGCCTTTCGCTCTCTGTTTCGTGGTTTCCGCTCTCCCGGTGAATCTGTCACGCACATCTTGTTTCGCTGCTTCTGTTTGTAGCCTGATCTGATGCCATGTTCGCGGCTCCCCGCCTCTGTTCCCATCGGCTAGTGAGAGGATGCGAGCAGTCTCTGCTCTCGCCGCCGCCCGCCGGTGCGGCCACAATCACTCCGCCTTTCCTCTTCCCCGGGGGCTATTTCGCCGGCGCCGAACGAATGGCGCGCCGCCGACCCCCCGACAGCGCCCCCTCCCCCTCCCCTACTCGGGGCGTCGTCCGGTCCGCCCTGGCGAGCTCCCGCCAGATGAATCTGTGCTAATGACTGCTGGCGGGCTGCGCGGCCCGGCTCCTGCCGGGCCGGGTCAGGCCGGGCCGACGGTGGAGGCTGCTGCCCGGCGACCGGCGCCCTGTCCAGAGCTGTCGCACGTCTGGCCCGGTGTACCAACACGTCTGGGTACCGCTCAACGCAGAGTGACTGCCTGGTGTTGTCCAGGTATATGGTTATTTGGTTGAGTACGTACCTTCCCCTCGTTTGTAGCACCTCTTCTCTGTTCGGAGACTTATATCCAATTGGCTTGCGAGTTCGACGCTGTGATGTGACCGACGAAAACCAACCAACCAGCGCGTAGCACGTATGTGACGTTGCGCGCAAACCCCAATTCTTGAGAACTTTTTTGGATGTGTCATGTCCCTCGGAAAGCTAATCGAATGCGGAGATATTGTCCTCATGCGTCCAGGGAGTGCGCATGATGTATGATTTCGCGAAATCACAACGCAAGCTTGTACAGGGAATTCAGTTGTTTTCAGTAAATGGGAGTACGGGGCGAATGTAGAAAAGTGCACGTTCGTCACGCCTTGGCTGCGCCATAGATGTGTAACCACATGTCCCCTTGTACATCGCGTAAGGGCATTTGAGCTTGCAATGAAATATGTTATGGGAAGGGAGTCTCAAAGAAAAGTCTAATGCGGTCATTTTCATCAATTTCCTTTCTTGAATGATTCTGAAGTGAGCTGTGCTACTTTCTTCCCAATAAGCCAGTTGTGTTTGCTGGGTTTTCGTGGAGAGTACTTTTCATCACACTAGAAGTATGAGTGCTGCTGGCCGTCTCCTTATAGTGTGCCTCCACTTGGGTGAACGTCACGTGGTGCGCTACGGCACGCGCACCGCGCCGCAGGTCAGTTCCACTGTCGAATTGGGACGCCGAACGGTCTTAACTGGAAGTCCGTGTCTGTCCATGTGTGTGCGCTGTCGAGGGACGCCCTGCCGCGCTCGGTGTGCCGCCGCCTGTAGGGGGCGTCACCTGCCTCTGGGAGCCGCCGCTCGTCGGCCCGTCCCAGCCACCGGGCGGCGTGACTCGTGCTGTTTTTGCCTGACCAGAGACGCCGCCGGTGGCGGCAGCGCGGTGGGTCGTGGCGTGGTGCAGGTGTGGCGCGAACAGGCGGCCGGCGGCTCGGCCGCCATCGTGGGCCGAGGGTGGACCGAACTGGCTCCCCACGAGGCGGGGGCCGCGCCGACTAGTTCCGCGCGAGCGTTATGGCGGCGGGCGGGTCGGGTGTGCGGCCGATCTGCTGTACCGAGTAGTCGACCGACTGGTCTACTCACGGCAGGCCCTTTGGTTTCCGCCGAGTTTCAGCTTCCTGTGGCGCCCTGTTCTATGCCGGGGTCTGAGATCTTGCGTGTTATGTGGTATTTTTTGTATAATAAACTCGGTGCGCTGATCGTGAAGCATTTGCAATGAACGGTGCAGCGTATGTTTTACTTTCAGTTAGCCCATACGGGACCTGCTCTGTTTCCGTCAGTACAGCGTGCGTGGCTCGCTGTCAAACTTGCCTGGGCGCTGGCGTCTGACAAAGCCGGTGCTTACGATGGGCGGTCCCGCGCACTAGAGCGCCGCTCGGCAGCAGTGCCGTCACGACCAGGCTCTCAGTCTCGCCTCTAAATGTGAACAAACTCCTGGATAGCATGGCAGATCGGCTAATGGATAGATACGGGTCTCAGCATCTCATTCCCTACAAGTGCATTCTTCCCTCAGAAGCGCCGACAAGCACGTCAGATTGTGGTGGATTATGAGATCAATGTCATCAGTGAGGAACTCACCCTCAGCTGTAGGGTCGATCAGCGCAGAATGGGCCGGTCGATCAGACTGCCGCAGCCAATCCCCTTCGAGATGGTCGCATCCCAACTACAACCGTTCAGCCCCATACGCAGTGACGCAATGCACGCAGAACCGCGCGACGCACGGAGTGCTCCCGAGTCCCAACCATGTATTAGTATATGCAGCCATCCGCGATGCTTTTTGCATTTCGCTTGCATCCCTGTGGCCTAGTTAATCACATTTCCGCGAGATCATGGTAATTGCAATTGACCCGCAATTCGTTATGCACCGCAATGTGATAAGGCTCAGCATATGTTGCCACTGCTGGAACCAAATAACGGCTCAGATCGATGAACTAATCCTGTGTGAGTCGGAATGCGTCGCGATAAACCGCTGCGAGGCCTGCATCAGGCGTGCCTTACGCATGGTGCCAGGACTTTAAGTATACTCCAAGCTTCGGAAACTTTGCATTTTAGGCTGGCATGTCATGACTTGTCCCTATTGAATCCAGATTAAATGAAATAAAACATCGCGGTGACACGAAGGTTTGTTTTGAAGGACCGTGTAAGAGTAAGTAGGGCTGGCTGATCCGAATGTCAGGAGCACTGATGCTGATTCTTTGATATGTTGACTATGAAGCTTGATGCGGCAGAAGTACTGTGCCCACCTACATGCAAGAAGGGTTGCATCAACACAACGTCATTAGCCTTACAGTTATCGGCGTCGACATGAGTCCGATCGACTATAAAGTGGTTACAATTCTGCTATCGACCTTTAAACTGATATGCGGTCTTGAAACACTGATGCAACATGGCGCCGTGTTCCGGGGCGGCTCCGCAGTAACATGGCGCCGTGTTCCGGTGCGGCTCCGCAGTAACATGGCGCCGTGTTCCGGAGCGGCTCCGCAGTAACATGGTGCCGTGTTCCAGAGCGGCTCCGCAGTAACATGGTGCCGTGTTCCGGGGCGGCTCCGCAGTAACATGGTGCCGTGTTCCGGGGCGGCTCCGCAGTAACATGGTGCCGTGTTCCGGAGCGGCTCTGCAGTAACATGGCGCAGTGTTCCAGAGCGGCTCCGCAGTAACATGGTGCCGTGTTCCGGGGCGGCTCCGCAGTAACATGGTGCCGTGTTCCAGAGCGGCTCCGCAGTAACATAGTGCCGTGTTCCGGAGCGGCTCTGCAGTAACATGGCGCAGTGTTCCAGAGCGGCTCCGCAGTAACATGGCGCGGTGTTCCAGAGCGGCTCCGCAGTAACATGGTGCCGTGTTCCGGAGCGGCTCCGTAGTAACATGGCGCAGTGTTCCAGAGCGGCTCCGCAGTATCTGAACTCGCGTGATACGACCTCAGCGCTCCTCATCCAGCATTCGAATTAGTTTTCGGTGTGAAGCTGATTATACAACATTTCAAAACAAACAGCTACATTTCTAGCATCTTTCTGTCCTCCAACGTCAGCTGTAGCATACACACACACATACGTACATGCACACACACACCTACATACATACATACATACATACATGCATACATACATACACATACACACACACACACACACATACACACACACACACACACACACACACGCACACACACACACACACACACACACACACACACACACACACACATATATATATATATATATATATATATATATATATATATATATATATATATATATATATATATATATGTGTGTGTGTGTGTGTGTGTGCAAGGACGAGATTGCTGGATGGCACGGTTTCCTCTATTCCCAACAAGCCGCTATGGTTGAGACATTCACCTTTCGAGGTCTGCCGGTGCCGGTCCTCGCGACCTCTCGCTTCCTTCAACGCGTTCCGGAACGCTGCACCGCCCAACATGACGGGATGAATATCCAGCCGTGGTGTGCGAAGGAAAGGGGGTCAGAGGCGACCGGCCGCCGCCCTGCCGTGAGCCTCTGGAGCCGGTCCATATCGGGACCGACGGCGCTGGCGGCTGCGCCAGCTCATGCAACGAGACCGCTCCAGGGCTGATCCACAGATCTCGGTGCGCACTGGAACGCGGAAATGACT